TTGACAATTATTACTCTACTTGCTCTAAAAAATCTTTTTTTTTGAAGAGAAACTTTTTTAGAGTGACTTTAACAATATTCCGACTCTACTCCAACATTTCAAATATCTACTCCAAGAGCTCCGATTATTTTGAATAGAATTCTATAGGAACTTAATTATTTTTGACATTTCTATTTATCTTACGTCAAAACAAATAGAATGCTATTTATCGCGACTCCAAGAAGGCAATCCGAAAACGCTACATTCACTTAAAACTTTGAAAATGAAACTACTCCTTTTATGCCGAACGCCAATAGTCCTACTTCAAGACGGTATTGGAATCGATAACTCCAACTGTTCGAAAATGGCTTTTTAGTGTGAATAGAATAGTAGAGTACTGTATTTACTTTGTTTTAAATACTCATTTTGATAGAGTATTACAGTTTGAATTTTATTTAGGAACTGGGATTACAACAAGTAGAATTCTAGTTTCATGACGTCACCCTCGACCTATTTATCGCCTACAGTACAAGCGATGAATTCTACTTGTTATGATCCCAGTCTGGGCTCTTGAATCACATTTTATTTAGAAAGAACGTTTAGAGTGTTTACGGAGTATTCAGAGTGAGCAAGTCGTTCGGAATTGTATTCTTTTTGACATCTTTTCACTCTGTTCGGGTTTTTGGAGTAAAGAAAGTGAAAAAGCTTATAACTCTAACTACTCTATGAGTACTTTTAATATTCGAATTTGGTTATTTAGTGTAAATAGAGTAACTATGTTCACATTAGTTATACAGAGTTGCGAGTAAATGGAACTTTGAGAATTAAAAAAAAAAGTTTATTGCAAACAAATAAACTTACTCTTTTTACTCCGATCATTGAGCTAACAAAATTAGAGTTAAGAGTGCATACTCCAGAATCTCCTATTTCTATATTGAAACTAATGAAATCGCCTAACACGGATTCGGAACAGTTTTTTGTTCACTTTAGAGTAAAAAGAGCAAACGTTTACAAGTGAGTCTGGAGTAAAAAAGTCGCCAGCGCGTTTACGAATAATACTCCTTTTTGATTCTGTTTGTTTTCGGAACAAACGGAGCAGGATTGAACGTACTCCAAAAGATTTATTTTAAAAATGGTAGCAACTTTGTTGACACCTTTCACTGTGAAACTTTTCGGATTTAGATATTGGAGCAAATAGTGTAAATTCCATATTTTTTATTAGAGTGAAAGGAGGCAAGAATACAGACGAAGTATTTGGACTCTACCTTGGTATAACTTTGCTAGGATTTCAATTTTATAGTTGCATCAGGAAATTTTTTGGAGTAAGCTACATTAACTCCACACCGTATAGCTAAATGTAAAAGCAGTTACTTTTTTTTATTGTAATGGTTGGAGTATTAATTAGAGTGTATTGATTAAGTAAACAGTTATGGAGTAATACTTTTTCTGAATGTACGGAGTAGTTAGAGTAAACAAGCCAACTTTAGTGCAGCACTTTGTGTCAGTTAGAGTAACACTTTTTGCACTGTGCGGTGCAAATTACTCGAAACTGTTCAATTTGCACTCGTTCCCATAATTTAAACTAACAAACTAAACTGCTGGACAAATGAAGCGGAACAAGTGAATTTTTAGTTTAACTCCGGAATCCAATATTACGCGAGCTGAAGAAGATATCAATGAGTGATTGCGAAATTCAAAAGTTTATTTTCGCAAACTGCTCACTGGTATCTTTGTTAGTTCGCGTAATATTGGAATTTGAAGTTACCCTAAAAATTCGCTTGTTCCGCTTCATTTGTCCAGCAGTTTATTTTAAAAATGAATTGTTCTGGAACAGTTATTGTAACCGAATTTGAAATATTTTGCAGTTTGCTCCATTTAAATAAACACCAAAGTGTTGAAACTCTAATTTTCGAACTGGAGCTTTTGGAGTGAACTCCATTTACTCTACTCTGTATAGCCAAACGATAACTTAATCGTTCAGAATTATTTCCAATGATTTAAGATCCATCAAAAATGTGTTCCAGAGTAAAAAAAGTAATAGAGTAGTTCGAAAACAATAAGAAATTTGATTTATATGAGGATCTTGACACAAAATATGACCATAACTTCCATATTTTTGTAACTTGTAGAACTTATGCTGATGATGGATTTATGATAGATCCGAAACATGTACAACCCCCTCTTCCAACTGATTATTTTTCTAAAATAAAGAGTGAAGATAGACTGTGTGTTTTACTCCAGTTCTTCAAAATATGACTGTTCTAGAACAAAATGCATGTTCGGAGCTGTTCTCAAACGATTTGATAACAATGTAATCAGTCCTACATAGACTTGGAACAATAACAGAACAGTTCTAAAACAATTTAGAACTCGATTTATATCGCGAGGCGAATGGTTCGAACTATGGTTTAAACCAATTTGTAGATGACGTCATCACTTGTGAACTCGAGAAAATGGAAGATTTGAACCACAATCTTATGTCAACGGAGAACAAGCCATAGTTCTTTTCACGTGGCTTCGGTTTAAACTAACCGGGAAAAATGTTATAAAGCGTTTTTATTCTCATCGGTGGATTCACCGATGAGTAAGCTATCTTTGTTTAGTGAATGGAAAATGACAATGACCGACATAGAATGGTGGATCCATCGGTAAAATTTGATGAGAATAAAAACGCAGGGTTATTTTAAAATTTGAGCAATTCTGTCACAATTTTTCCGCTCTTTGTTGTTTCGAATTTTCTAATGTTTTTGTTCTAACTGTTAACGTAAGCATATCGCCGAGCTGGCCACGGATTCTGTGTTCTGTCGCTTTCTGCATATCGAATTCTAGTGTCGATTTTTACATTTAATTTAAGGGGAAATCGTGTAGAAAACGGTATACGGAATACGAAATATCGAACGCGACATGTCGCTGGAATTTGACAGTGCACGGAATCCGTGTTAAGCCTAGTCTCCATAGACGCGAAATCGCGAAAAGCGAATTTTTTAAGTGTCATTTTTTGGTGGCTATTTCCGAGCAAATTATTCCCATGTCTCCATAAGCGCGAAATTCGCGTTTTATTTAACAGGTTAAGGTTACCTATGTGTTGTTGTTTGTAATCAATTTGAATTCGATTTACATGCTTTGAATTTCAAACACTAATCTTTGAAAACCATGAAAGTGATTACTAAAAAACAAAAAAAGATATGTGTCTTGGTGTTGTCTTAATTACATTTAAGGCCCTATTATAATCTTCCTCATCAACCAGCAAGCTGTAATTTATGTCTGTTTTCGGGTCTACAATATTCAATTCTTTGGCAGTATCCATTCTTTATTAGGTATCTACAAGTACAAAACACATCAACGACTCACAGAGGACAGAGCACATACCGACAAAAACATAAACAAAACTAAACTGAAAGTAACACCACATAACCTCATTTTTTTTTGGCGAAATTTCGCGGAAAGTTAAAAAATAGTTAACTTTTTTGCGACGCCGCAAGAAGTTAAAAAATTCGCGAATTTTTCCCGCCATAAAAAAATCAAATGTTAAATGTCAAATTCCAACCAATCGGAAAATATCCGCAAAAAAAAATTCGCGATTTCGCGTCCATGGAGACTAGGCTTTATGATGGTTAGATAAATGACATACCGTTTTCTAACCCAGTTATAAAGTGACGTTATCGATGCCACTCGAATATGAGCAGTATTAGGCAATTGACCTTTTCAATTTAAAAGCCTCTCTCTCTGGCATCAAACTGTCAGATGCCAAAAGAGTATGAAAACAATGGTTGACAGCCGTTGACAGTGGTTTGTAGACAATACTTTTGAAAAACACTATTATTTCCTCGGTTTTTTCAAGGTTTTTTTCCTAACAATGGTGATTCTGTGTAGTGTGCCTTTTCATAAAAATAATTCTTATTCACTGGCGGATGCGTCTTTCCATAAGTTTCCATCAAATTCTACATTTGTCAAAATTTGGATACACAAAATCAGAAAGGATACTTGCAAAAGAAAGGGAAATCCACGTCCCATCAAGTATACAAAGTAATCCACGTTCAAGTTTAGTTTGCGGAACCTGTTTGCTTCCACAATAATTCATTACCGTCTTCATAGCGAAGTTCTGCGAATAAAGCAGTGACTTTTCCTCCCACATTTTCTTCTCAATTTCAAACCCTGCGCAAATGTTACCGATGGATCCACCATTCTATGTCGGTCATTGTCATTTTCCATTCACTTAACAAAGGTAACTAACTCATTGGTGAAGTCACCAATTCGAATAAAAACGAGGGAATTGCTAAACATATTGACATTGACAAGCAAGCAAATGTTGGCGGGAAAACGAATGTTTTCATACTTATCGTCTATCTCTTTTAATTGAAAACGTCAATTCAAACCATCCTTGAATTCAAACCACGTAACATTCAAGATGGCGTGCCGGCCACACATGGGCCAAAAAATACAAAAAAATGTCTAGTTTTTGCCCGATTTAGGGCAGGTATTATAAAACTACTTTGAGAGTTAACTTAAAGTTAATTTCTGGAATTACATGTAATTCAAAAAGTTAACTTCAAGTTAACTGTCAAAGCAGTTTTATAATACCCAACCTTAATAGTTAAGGTACATGGTCAACAAATGTTTTCTCAAATAATCAAAATCAAAGTTGCAAGCAAAACTCTAAGCAAAATAATTTAAAATACGCATGAAAACATATTCAGAACAAATTTGCTTGGCAGCCACGCCATATTGAATTTTCCTTTTTGACAGATGGATTGATTGCCATCCTTGGCCTAATGTTGCGGTCTGTTAAACCGGAGTCGTGTGAAAAGGGTTCACTAGTGCGCGAAGTGAAATTTTACGTCTTCTAAATAGTGCGTAAAGTGAGTACTTTACGCACAGTAGTAGAAAAAATAATTTAAAATACGCATTACAACATATTCAAAACAAACTTGCTTGGCCGCTACGCCATATTGAATTTTCCATTTTGACAGATGGATTGGATTGCCCAACTGACAAGTTCTCATAACCTAAACAATAAACAAAAAAAATTGAAAATCCAAATAAACAAATTAATTTCATCCAATCCACCCACAGATAAATATCTAAAACTCCTTGCACCACAGTAACATAATTATTCCATTATCCAATCAAAACTTAAAAACTATGTGACATATCAAATTATTACACTACTTGTGTAAAAAATGGCTCAGCAAAATAATACGGCGTTTTTAAGAGAGTGGGCCCCGTTGAGTGACCTTTTTGATAAACTGCCCGCCAAAACTGGAGGCTTGTTTTCGCAAGATATCAAATTAACGTGTATCGATGCCCTATCAGAGTTTTTGGTTATCGGTACCAATGTCGGCACCGTCTATTGGTACAATAGGAAGAGGAAGGATCTGCAAAGGTTGAGATGTGAGGTAATAATCGGTTCAGGCTCATACACAAATTGCAATTCGAGGGGTTTTTCACCTAACAAAATTTGTACACCAATTAACAGTACTAACTGAGATATTTATTAACAGATATTTCTATGTACCTAATAACAAGTTATTCTATGTATTAACGAAATATTTCCACATATTGCCAGGTATTGCCATGCTATTGACAGACTAATATCAAATATCTGTCTTGCCAGAATTCTAGATATTGACATAACCACAGGTATTTACATGTCGTTAATGGGTATCAACCAATGACATTAACATATATTGCCTAGATATCTACAAGTATTGACATATATTATCTGCATAATTAACAAGTAGGTATTGCATAGTATTGACACTATTGACATATTGACATAGTATTTACCTGGTCTTGACATATATTAACCAGTGATTTGTACCCCAACTAACAAGGTGAAAAACCTCGCATTGCAATTATAATAATAAATCCTCAAATAAATCTTACAGCTATATTTATTTATTTAGAACTCCAATTCTCCAATTACTTTTATAAAAGCTGTATCCACTGTGGATTATATGGTAGCAAGTGGAAATCAGTCTGGGAACATATCCATATTCCAAATACCAAAATCTCACCCTGACTCGTTGCCAGATGCTTTGAAACCACAACAAAAACAGGTAAAGAATTTTCCATTTATTGTTTTATTATTGCTCTTGAGGATTTTTATTTTTTTTCAATAATTTTCTTCCAAATCTTGGGGGGCTGACCAACTAGAGAACCGCATTTGGTTTGTTCACAGAGTCCCCAACATTCTTTTTATTCCAACAACCAACAGGTAGTGCAAGTTTATTCAGATCAGAACTTCAATTTTTTTTTTGATAGCATTTTAAAAATATCTAAAATTTGTTTTTTTTTTTTTTTAAAGATAATTCCCCAAGTCAAAAATTTAGTAACTATGTTGGCAACACAAGCCTTTTCTACATAAAAAATTTGAAAGCTTTGACAATTTTATGTTGCATTGCCAACCCAATGTCAATTTGACTTTTATCTTAAAAAAAAAAACCTTTGAATAGAGATATTCTTCAAAATTTGTTGCCAGTGTTGCCAACCTTACTATAATTATAGTATTTGTACTATAATTGAATGATTATGTACTATGTTGTATCAAAGGTCATTATAGTACTATAATTATGCATTATCAAATTATTTAGTCCTTAATCCTATTGGTTTCCTAATGTGTTGGAGTGGAAGCCGTTATGTCTAGTCACCTTTTTTCTCTTTTTTTTTTTCTTCAGCTGAATAGGCTCTGTCCTTTTAGTATTGATAGAGCATGTATTTCATGACAATTGACATTTTAAATGTCAACTGTCAAAAGTGTTGGCTTAGTGTTTTTTTGTGACTGGGTTTACACTGTCAATTGTCAATTTCATTAATTTTCCTGAACGGGTCCTTTTTTATACCAAAAAAGATGTTTTTCTACTACCGTGCGTAAAGTACTCACTTTACGCACTATTCAGAAAATGTGAAATTTCACTTCACGCACTAGTGCGTAAAGTTATTCACTTCACACACTAGTGCGTAAAGTAATGTCAATGACAGATTTCAACATTGTCAATTTGGCATTTTTCTGGTAAATTACTTTACGCACCAGTGCGTAAAATGAAAATTCTTCACGCACTAGTGCGTAAAGTAGTTGTCCAAATTTATTTTCTTACACATATTTGATTGGTAGTAGAAAAAATTCTGTAAGCAATAGCAAAAGCACCTTTTTTCATTCATGTGATTGTTGCACTCAAAATTCACATTCGTGAAAAAAGGTTCACTTTACACACTTGTTGCATAAATAACTATTTTCTACGAGCGTGCGGAAAAGTGCACTTTTCCGCACTAGTGCGAAAAAGAAAAAAGTTTTTTCCGCACTAATGCAAAAAAATGACAGATGTCAGTTTTTAAATTATAAGCTGACACACTTACACAAATATCAGCATTGATAATTATTGAAACAATAATTTTATTTATCAAATTATTTCGGTTTGAACTTAACTTATCTTGTCAAGTTACAATAGAATGGTTACTTTATGTTTAAAAATTTTGAAAATTGCATAGTAGATATGTACATCAAACGTACAAATTATTGTTAAAAGTTCTCGATTTTATTGTCTTCAGAATCAGGGACATGATTTCAGAATTATTTTTTCCTACAGCCGTGCGGAAAAATCGATTTTCCGCACTGATATGCGTGTGGAAAATGAGTTTTCCCGCACGGTGCGGTAAAACTTTTTTCTACTGACGTTTCATAATAGCAACTTTTCGATTGTCATTTCAGTTTTGAAACGACATTCTTTTAGGCACTGAGTGCGTGAAAGTTACTTTTAGGCACTCAGTGCGTAAAAGTGACTTTCGAATGCGTAAAAGTGACTTATGAGTGCGTAAAAGTAATTTTTAAGCACTAGTGCCTAAAAGTGTCATTCATTATTCAGAAATAAAAAACACACTAAACACATATTTGAATTTTGTTTTGTATTTATTATGAATATTGAAAATGGAATTACTGAATTGAACGTTTGGGTTACTCAAAACAGAACTTTGTGTTATTACCTACTTTCTAGGATTTTAATTATTGATGTCGAATTTTGAAAAGAAAATCGCATGAAAAGTGTCAGGTGTCAAGTAAAAGCAGGTAACAAAGATTTTGGGTGTAATCGACTTATTCACATGAAATAAAATTGTGTTTTTTTATTATAAAATGCCAGTAGAAAAAATCTTGTATACAATACGTTACAAAACGATGTCTTTTAGTCACTCGACATGTTGTCCAACTCGGCTTTGCCTCGTTGGACAATTTTCACGTCGCGTGCCTAAAAGACGCTCATTTCGTAACTTATTGTATAAATAGCTATTACCGCACGCATATCAGTGCGGAAAAAGTTTTTCCGCACGGCTGTCAGTGCGGAAAAATTTTCCGCACTTGTTAGGTAAATAGCTATTTTTTTATTTTTAAAAAAATAAGTTTTATTTGTACTTAAGAGTACCTAACCTATATTAAGAAAAATTTACATTATGTAGGTACGTTACTTCTATCTCGTAGAGAAAATAGTGTTCCTAACTCATGCGGAAAGTCTCTTTTCCGCACGCGATTGCAGCAATCAAGTTAGCTAGTTAGGAACTATACTATATCGAACACACCCCTATTTAATTTTTAAAATTATTTTTAATTTTGTTGTTTTTCGCGGGAAAAATTTGAAATTTAAGTGCGATGCGCCCCTGACTTTTCTCTTTTTTTCTAGAAAATATCACAATTTTCCCCTGAATAGTTTCCCAGAAAAAAAATAAAATATTAGATGGTGCATTTATGCCCGATTTAGTTGATTTTCATTAATTTTCAATGAGGTTATTTTCCACCGTTTTCCACTAGAAAAATTTGAAATTTTCTTCTTTTTTCCAGAAAATGTCATAATTTTCCCTTGAATAGTTTTCCAGAAAAAAAAATATTAGATGGTGCATTTATGCCAAATTTAGCTGATATTCATTAATTTCCAATGATGTTATTTTCCACTGGAAAAATTTGAAATTTTACTGTGATACGCCCCTGACTTTCTTCTTTTTTTCCAAAAAATTTCATAATTTTCCTCTGAATAGTTTTCCAGAAGAAAAATAAAATGTTGGATAGTGCATTTATGCTTAATTTAATTAATTTTCATCAATTTCCAATGGGGTTATTTTTCACTGTAAAAACTTGAAATTTCAGTATGATACGCCCGTGAATTTTTTTTTTCCAGAAAATTTAATAGTTTTCCCCTGGATAGTTTTCTAGGAAAAAAATTAAATGTTAGATGGTGCATTTATGTCTAATTTAGTTGATTTTCATTAATTTCCAATGAGGTTATTTTCCACTGGAAAAATTTGAAAATTTACTATGATACGCCCCCGATTTTCTTTTTTTTTCCAGAAAATATCATAATTTTCCCTTGGATAGTTTTCCAGAATAGTTATTTATGTATCAAGGGTACTAAGTAGATGATTATGCCCTGAGGGCGACAGTCTTACAAAGCCGAGGGCCTCTGGCCCGAGGGTTCGTAAGTCGCCCGAGGGTATATATATCTATTAGTACCCGTGGTGCATACAAATTTTTATGTCATACCAGTTGGTTGTGAATAATAAATACCTGGGAAAAAAGTGTCACTTTGCAAATTGTCATCAGTGTTCAAAATCATCATTTTTTGACAAAAATAATATGTTTATAAGCGTAAATTTATATTTTGTTAATAAAGAATGAGTTAATTGAAAACTTTTTTTTGCGTCTTTATGCCCGCGCGGGCCATAATGTGTACTTTATGCCCGCACGGGCATAAAGTAATGAATTATATAGATGGTATCCTCGATGGTATCTAAGGTATAAAAACACAATAATGTATTGGTATGACATAAATAAAATGTTAGATGGTGCATTTATGTCTAATTTAGTTGATATTCATTAATTTCCCATAGGGTTATTTTCCATTTGAAAAATTTGAAATTTTACTATGATACGCCCCTGACTTTCCTCTCTTTTCCCAGAAAATGTCATAATTTTCTCCAGGACAGTTTTCCAGAAAAAAAATAAAATGTTAGATTGTGCATTTATGCCTAATTTAGTTGATTTTCATTAATTTCCAATGGGGTTATTTTCTACTGGAAAAATTTGAAATTGCACTATGATACGCCCCTGACTTTCTTCTTTTTTTTTCCAGAAAATGTTATAATTTTCCTTTGAATAGTTTTCCAGAAAAAAAATTAAATGTTGGATGGTGCATTTATGTTTAATTTAGTTGATTTTCATTAATTTTCAATAGGGTTATTTTTCATAAGAAAAATTTGAAATTTTAATATGATAAGCCCCTGACTTTTCTTTTTTTTCCAAAAAATTTATTAATTTTCCCCTGGATAGTTTTCCAGAAAAAAAAATAAAATGTTAGATGGTGCATTTATGTCTAATTTAGTTGATTTTCATCAATTTCCAATGGGGTTATTTTCCACTGGAAAAATTTGAAATTTTATTATGATACGCCTCTAACTTTCCTCTTTTTTTTTCCAGAAAATTTCATAATTTTCCCTTGGATAGTTTTTCAGAAAAAAAATAAAATGTTAGATAGTGCATGTATGCCTAATTTAGTTAATTTTCATTAATTTCCTATGGAGTTATTTTTTACTAGAAAAAATTGAAATTTCACTATGATACGCCCCTGACTTTTTTCTTTTTTTCCAGAAAATGTCATAATTTTCAACTGGATAGTTTTCTAGAAAAAAAATAAAATGTTAGATGGTGCATTTATGTTTAATTTAGTTGATATTGATTAATTTCCAATGGGGTTATTTTCTGCTGGAAAAATTTGAAATTTTACTATGATGCGTCCCTGACTTTCTTCTTTTGTTCCAGAAAATGTCATAGTTTTCCTTTGAATAATTTTCCAGAAAAAAAATAAAATGTTAGATGGTGCATTTATGTTTAATTTAGTTGATTTTCATTAATTTTCAATAGGGTTATTTTTCACAAGAAAAATTTGAAATTTTAATATGATAAGCCCCGACTTTTCTTATTTTTCCAGAAAATTTAATAATTTTCCCCTGGATAGTTTTCCAGAAAAAAAAAATAAAATGTTAGATGGTGCATTTATGTCTAATTTAGTTCATTTTCATCAATTTCCGATGGGGTTATTTTCCACTGGAAAAATTTGAAATTTTATTATGATACGCCTCTGACTTTCCTCTTTTTTTCCAAAAAAATTCATAATTTTCCCTTGGATAGTTTTTCAGAAAAAAAAATAGTGCATTTATATCTAATTTAGTTAATTTTCATTAATTTCCAATGAAGTTATTTTTTACTAGAAAAATTTAAAATTTCACCATGATACGCCCCTGACTTTTTTCTTTTTTTCCAGAAAATGTCATAATTTTCAACTGGATAGTTTTCCAGAAAGAAAAATAAAATGTTAGATGGTGCATTTATGCCTAATTTAGTTGATATTCATTAATTTCCAATAGGGTTATTTTCCATTTGAAAAATTTGAAATTTCACTATGATACTCCTCTGACTTTCCTCGCTTTTTCCAGAAAATGTCATAATTTTCTCCTGGACAGTTTTTCAGAAAAAAAAATAAAATGTTAGATGGTGCATTTATGCCTAATTTAGTTGATTTTCATTAATTTCAAATGGCGTTATTTTCCAGTGGAAAAATTTGAAATTTCACTATGATACGCCCCTGATTTTCTTTTTTTTTGCCAGAAAATGTCATAATTTTCCCTTGAATATTTTTCCAGTAAAAAAATTAAATGTTAGATGGTGCATTTATGTCTAATTTAGTTAATTTTCATTAATTTCCGATGGGGTTATTTTCTACTGGAAAAATTTGAAATTTCTCTATAATACGCCCCTGACTTTCTTCTTCTTTTCCAGAAAATGTTATAGTTTTCCTTTGAATAGTTTTCCAAAAAAAAAAAAAAATGTTGGATGATGCATTTATGTCTTATTCAGTTGATTTTCATTAATTTTCAATAGGGTTATTTTTCACAAGAAAAATTTGAAATTTTAATATGATAAGCCCCTGATTTTCCTCTCTTTTTCCAGAAAATGTCATAATTTTCTCCTGGACAGATTTCCAGAAAAAAAATAAAATGTTAGATGGTGCATTTATGCCTAATTTAGTTGATTTTCATTAATTTCCAATGGAGTTATTTTCTACTGGAAAAAATTGAAATTTCACTTTTTTTCCACAAAATGTTATAGTTTTCCTTTGAATAGTTTTCCAGAAAAAAAATTAAATGTTAGATGGTGCATTTATGTCTAATTTAGTTGATTTTCATTAATTTTCAATAGGGTTATTTTTCACAAGAAAAATTTGAAATTTTAATATGATAAGCCCCTGACTATTCTTTTTTTTCCAGAAAATTTAATAATTTTCCCCTGGATAGTTTTCCAGAAAAAAAATAAAATGTTAGATGGTGCATTTATGTCTAATTTAGTTGATTTACATCAATTTCCAATGGGGTAATTTTCCACTGGAAAAATTTGAAATTTTATTATGATACGCCTCTGACTTTCCTCTTTTTTTTTCAGAAAATTTCATAATTTTCCCTTGGATAGTTTTTCAGAAAAAAAATAAAATGTTAGATAGTGCATTTATGCCTAATTTAGTTGATATTCATTAATTTCCAATAGGATTATTTTCCATTTGAAAAATTTGAAATTTTACTATGATACGCCCCTGACTTTCCTCTCTTTTTCCAGAAAAGGTCATAATTTTCTCCTGGACCGTTTTTCAGAAAAAAAATAAAATGTTAGATGGTGCATTTATGCCTAATTTAGTTGATTTTCATTAATTTTCAAAGGGTTTTTTTTTTCACTGGAAAAATTCGAAATTTTAGTATGATACGCCCTTGACTTTTCTCGTTTTGTCCAGAAAATTTCATAATAGTTCGATCTCTGTGTGTCCCACCAGGACAATTGGCGGTCATCTGTCTCCAGTAGGATAGTATAATTTGTACAAATATACTATAATTCTATAGTGTTCTATACTATAATAGTTGATCCGCAGTTGGCAACACTGAGGGGACAGACAAAGAGTCATTTTCAAACTTTAGACCAATTTCCTTGCTCCCAACTATGGCCAAAGTCGTTAAAAAACTGGTAAAGGGGTGTAGCATCAGTTTTCTTGGTAGACACGGTTCAGTTCGGATTTCAATCTTTAAAAAACACCAATGATGCCATGTTTGTATTTTTGAAAAATTCATCCAATCGACTTAATGATGGAGAGGTTGCCGTGGCGGTGTTTTGTGATCTGTCTAAGTCTAAGGGATTTGATTGCGTAGATCATAGAATACTGCTGGGCAAGCTTGAAATATATGGTTTTAGAGGAACTTTCCTTTCATGGATAGTTTCTTATCTGTCTTCAGGTTATCAATCAGTGAGCTTTAATGGTGAAGAATCCTGTAAGCAACTAATTACCTACCTCTGGTGTTTCTCAGGGATTTGTTTTAGGGCCTTTATTGTTTCTGATTCACATCAATGATTTATCAGAGTTGGACGTGTCAGGTGTGTTTACAATGTTGTGCTAACAATGTTGATCGGTTGGAGAGATTGGTTGGCAGGGATCTGGTTGGAATCAAAAAAATGGTGCGACCCAAATTTCTTGACACTGAACATTGCTAAAACAAATATTGTCTCTTTCAAATGTGGTGTGGGTGATGTCGTTTTGGGTTCGCAAGTTTGTGCGAGGCTTGCAGGTTAATAAGTTTTTGAGTTTATTCATAGATGAAAAGTTGAAGTTTGAGGCTCACGTTCTAAACATGAATAAAAAAATTCTAGAGAGTTGTGGGTTGTCTCGCGAGAGTTGGATTCGTCTACTACGAGGAATGTGTATTTTGCGTTGGTTGAGTCTCATCTACGTTACGAAATCTGTTTCTGGGGATCCTGTTCTGATCAGCTTTTCACTATGGTTTTCGTTCTGCAAAAACGCGCAATAAGATCATTGTGTGGGGTGGGTCCCAGGCAATCTTGCATATCTTTGTTTGTTTCACAGAAAATCTTAACTCTCGCATGTATATTTATTGCTGAAACTGTTGGCCTAATTTACAGTAAGTATAAGAATGATATTGCAACTTCGGAGGTTTCAGTCACTCATTCATCTTATGTGGCTTCGCTCCCCATTCCCGTTTCGACCCTCACAAAGAAATCCATGATTTATAACAGCAACAAGCTTTTTAATCATCTGCCTTTGAATGTAAGAAATATTCAGAATAGGAAGCGCTTCAGAATTGAAGTGAAAAATTTATTGGTTGGGAAAGCCTACTATTCAATTGCAGAATTTTTCAGTGACTCCCTAAACTAGCATTCATTTAGTTTTACTTCTTCTGACTTTGCCTTACATTGTAGTGTATGTGTATCTATGTTAGTTCATTGTCTTAAACTTCAAACTAATTTATTATTGCCTGTTTTTAGCCTGACTTTTTATATTTTTCTTTAACCAGTGTTTGTTTAGTATCATGTCATGTTTATTTTATATTTATTTATGTAGTATTAAGAATTTATATTGGATTAGTGTACTTTCATGATAAGATTGTAATGGTCTTCATTCAATAAAGCTGTTTTTGATTTGATTTGATTTGATATATATAGATATACTAAGCATGTGCCATGTGCGACGTCATAAAGTATTATATCTTATGACGTCTTAAGCAGATTTCAAAGCATTGTATCTCTGTCAATTTTTGATTAACATGAAAAAATCTTTCTTCTACGCCTTCGTATATCTCCAAATATTAATTTCTTCAAATAAATTTGAAAAAAAAAAATATTTTTTATTATAGGTAGAACGCTATACAGTAACAGACCTGCACAAATGTCCGATAACAGCTTTGGAATGGTCGAAAAACGGTATGAAATTATTTTCGGGCGACAAAACCGGCATCATAGTGTTAACCGAGCTGGATTTTTACATGCACGTATGCAAATCAATTGAAATCCTAAACGAATCCTACGAAGTCGTGCAGCTCAGCTACAGACAGCAACATTTAATGGTTTCAACTACGTTTAGGAGTATCATTTGTCAGCATTTGGATAAATGGAAAGTGTGCCAAGTGGGCAAAAAGGATCGGAAGGTTTTGGGCAAATTCGGCGGACTCATTTATCAGCGGGGATTCAAACCTAATGATGTGGTTCTTTATTGTATGAGACCGGGACTGAGAATATGGATTGCCGATGTTGAAGGCGAAGTTCAAAAAACACTTTTGTTTAAGGTAATAATTTTAGAAATCTCATTTCCGAAACTAGAAAAGTGTGATTTTTGAGCATTTTAAAACTTACCAATTGAAGTTGCGTTAAAACTACATAATAACTAGCAAAATTTAACTGGTCCTAATAATGCTAATATCCTGTTGCAATTTGTTGAAAGTTATAAGACAAAATGTGTGTCAATGTATTGAATAATTCAAATCGCCTTTAATTATTTGGAAAGGTGTATAGCCTGTAACACTATGTATGCTGTTATTATAGTTCAAGATTGCAATTACCATTAGGTCATTAATGTTTTTATTTGGGCTTTGTAATCTTAAGCTTGTTAAACTTTCTTTCAAGGTAGAATGTAATAATCTCTCAATAGGACTGTTCGAATTAGGATTTCGAGGAGTCGTATAATGAAATTCGATGCGTAAAGTACATAAATCTATTACAATTGATTTTTTAAATTCAGTTCCGTTATCAGAGGTAATTCTTTGATTATTTATTTATTTTAGGATTTACTGTGTAAAGATTGTGCTCAAATCCCGATATTAAACCCCTTATCGAAAACGTTGCAGCAATTGAAGCCCCAAAAAGAAGCCAGTTTCGGGGTGGTTCAGCAATTTTGTGATAATCTACTGATAACTTACAGTAACGATGTAGTTTACATTTTGGATCCCGCTAACATGAGTATATTGGCCACTGTTAATAATTTAAGAAGGTATTAGTGATTGGTTTTTGTTAGTATTTTATTTTTTGATTGAAAATTTTTCCATTAGTATTTTAGGTATTGCAACTTACAAGGATGAGTTGTTTATTTTGGAAGAGGAAAGAAGTCTTTTGAGGATTTCGTATCATCCTGAAGGTAATTAACTAAATTATTTGTATATCACACAAAATTTTATATAATATTCATATATAATTTTTTTTAAGTTGCATCAAAATTATTTCTATTTTAGACTCGATTTTAGGCGAAATGGTGGACGTTAATCTCGACTCTATTGTCATTTCCAATGCTGAAGAGGCCCAAGAAATTGTCAAAGACGAACCAAAAACGTTCGACGAGATCAGCAAACAAGAATTCGACGATAGCATTTTGTTTAAAAATACAAGAAAATTGAAAAAGAAAATCTATAGTAATTCGAAAGCTTTCAGCAGAGAAACCAATAACGAAGTTGATCTAAGTTATACAAGGTAATATCTACACTACACAAACATATTTCCAATAGTTGTAGATCTCATGAAAATTCGAGTGAAAATTTGGTTTTATTGAAAGAGATTGTTGATATACAATCTCATGTTTTCGATTCTAGATATATGTATTTTAATTGAAATCAATTAATCATGTTCTAGGCCTACTTTGATGAATCTCAGTGCAGTAGGTGTCCTGCCAGATCTGCGCAGTCCCGAATCCATAGTCAATGACATTGAAAACAAAGAAAAAATCCTGTCGGACGTTTTGAATTTGGAAAAGCTGACGATTCGACCTCCACAGGATGAGCAATTAGAAGTCAAAGATTCGATTAAAAGTGATATTTTGTTGTGTCCTGTTCCGGAAATTGAATCTCGAATAATTGGAAGTGGCAAGGAATGGGTACCAAAAACAATTACACAAAGTAAGAGTTATATTTTAGTTTAATATACCAAGTAATGAAAGTTTTCAAAATTCCTCTCCAATAGTTTTTCGGGAAAACATTAAAAATTGATAAGGGGCATTTTTTCATCAAAGTTGATTTTCAAAAATTTTTTATATTGTTGTTATCCACTAGATCAATTTGAAATTCAGCTTGATGAGATCCTAACTCTTTTCTGTTCACATGAGAATTTTTTAATATTCCTTCCCAATAATTTTTCAGGAAATATTAAGTAAAAAGTAAGAAAGTGCATTTTTCAAAATTAATTTATCGAAGTTGATTTTCGAAAATTTCTCATATTATTATTATCCCCTGGATCATTTTGGAATTTCAGCTTGATGAAATCCTAATAATTCTCCTCTCTTCATTCAGAAAGTTTTTAAAATCCCTCCCTGATAGTTTTTCAGAGAGAGAATCTTTGTCATTTTTAATTTATGCATTTCTAATAATATTCAGTTTTGGTGTTTTTATTTATTTATTTAAAGTAATATACAGGATGCCTCATTTATAAATTTACACTCTAAAAAGATCAATCGCAGGGTGAGCTTTTAGTAGAGCCAGACCACGGGCGAGATGAGAATGAGAATTAGTTCTATGGACAGTTACAGAGAAGACCTTGCGTTGGCATGGTACTTTCAGATAGATTTCACTGAAAAGATTGGAACAGTCTATGTTTTCGTTAATCAGTTCATAAATGAAGTAGAAGTAGGAAAATTTTCTCTTGTTCTCAAGTGCTGAAAGACAAAGATGAAGTTAGGTATACATCTTCTAGTCTATCTGTCATATCAAGTTTATATGCAGAATATTTTATAAACTTGTGTTGAACTTTCTCAAGTTGGTTATAAAATGTCAACCATACAACTGAAACATATTCTAAATGAAATCTTACTAGTACGGTAAATGGAGTGAGTTCATACAGACAAATCGCTACCATCTCTGAAAATCAAGCCCAGCATCTGAAACGCTCTACTTTTTATACAGGGTGTTGATAAATAATGGGATCAAACTTCTAGAATAAATAGTACTCATTAAAATTTAAAAAAAAGTTAATAAAAACATGGGTCTGCAAATGCTCAATTTGCGAGATACAGGGTGTCAAACCTTAAAAAAAAATGTTTTTTTGCTCAAAAAACCCTTTGCCGATATTCTTTAAATTTGACAGGTTTTTGTAAAAACAAAAGGTATCTTTTGACTAAATTAGATTTACCGTAATTATTCCGGTGGCGGTCCAGAAGACAACTACGTTGGTGAAAATAAAAAGAAAATGGCATGTCACTGTTTTTTAATAATTTTGATATTTTTTTTAGATAAAACAATTCATATTACATTTTTTTGTCTCTTGATTTTTTTCCGTATCTCTCTTGTAGTTGCCTTCTGGGGCGCCACTGGAAATTTAAAAAAAATCGGCAGCGAGATTTTTGAGCAAAAAATTTTTTTTTTTTTCAAAGTTTGATACCCTGTATTGCACAAGCATCATTGATAAAAATAATAAGAAACAGGACAGATTAAATTAAGGGTAATGTAAATACATTTTTAAACGTGAATAGCGTTAAAACAGCTGAACCAAATATCAACATATACATATATGGTATATTTGAAATCAGAAGAAAAAAAATTATCATTCTAGCCGAAAATATACAGGGTGTTCCATTTCAAAAATGCAAGTGTTTGTTATTGTGGCAGTTGGCACCTGTCATTTGCCCGTTTTGACATTCGCAAAAGATAATAGACGTAAAACCCTATAACTTTCAAATTTAAAGTTTTTTTCCACCTTGTATAGCTGAAGCTATAGGTAGGGATCAAAATATAAGAAAACACCCTGTATCTAATATGAATTTTAATTTTAAACACTTTTGTTGGGATAAATATCGTGATGTTTTTAAAATAAATATCGCGATATATATCATGATATACGTATATCAGCTGATATAATATATCCTCGCACCTTGCCCCCCACCCCCCCTATAGAGGTTATGTGAAGAGATATCAAAAAAATTTGAATACAAAAGTTTTGGGGTTTTACTTGAAATTTTTGAATCCAATATCAAAACTTTCTTGTTTTTTTTAGAAATGTCAAATTTTGACAGATGGTCAGTTTTTTCCTATGGAACACTCTATACAGGGTTTCACGAAACGTTTGTTACAAACTTCTAGAGATGGTAGATCTCGTGAAAATTAGGTTTTTTTTTCAATAAACATATCTCTGGAAATGCTTCGTTTTCCATATACAGAATGTTAGACTTTGTAATTAAAAGTCAATTTTTTTATTATTTTTCAGAAATGCGTTGGGCGAATTTAATGACATTTCCACAGTTTGTTGACACTTTTATGGGGTTTCTTTTGGACTGTTCAGAGTTGACCTAATAATTCGAGGGGCGTGCCCACAGGTCATGTCGAATAGTTTTTCGCACATAAAACATCGCCCAGTATATTTATTTTTAATTAGGATATATCTTTTAACACGATTTTATCTCAGTATCTATAAGTGCAAATGAGCTGAAATTTTCAAAGATAGTAGTTCTTTGAAAAGGATAAAATACAGTGAAAGTTTCAGCTTTCTATCTATAATAGAAAAAAAGTAATGACCTTTCAAAGTTTTCCAAAAAAATCATAAGGGGGGTACCTTCTTCCTGAAACGATGAAATTTCAATTTTTTTTTTGTTAAGATTTTGTATCCTAATGGTCAATCAACATACCCCAAACTCCATACACTAAATTATTCTTAGATTTGAAGCCGAAATCTATGAAAAAAGGCACTCAGAAAAATTGAAAAATTGATAAATCCAATCCCCCCAAATTGCTTAACACGATTTTATCTCAGGAACTATAAGTGCAAATGAGCTGAAATTTTCAGGGATTGTAGTCCTTTGAAAGGTATAAAATTCAGTGAAAGTTTCAGCGTTCTATCTCTAATAGAGAAATAATTATGGCCTTTCAAAGTTTTCGAAAAAAATCATAAGGGGGTTCTTGTTAAAACGATGAAATTTCAAATTTTTTTTTGTCGAGATTTTGTATCCTAATGGTCAATCAACATACCCCAAACTCCATACACTAAATTCACCATATTAGTTAGGTTAGAATCGCAAATTGGGGGCAAATTGATACCTTATGGGGACTCAATTTTAAAAGCGTCTGTAGACGTGATAGAACGTTTGTTAGGGAAGTGAGTTGTATAAATAAATTTTTCAATATGTTAATTAACTGAGAGAGTGTTTGAAAGTTGAATAAACATTGTTAAAATAAATATATTACCAATTTAAGAAGCCGATATTTGTATAAAATACGTATGTCGTTGCTTGATCCACAAGTATATATGGGTACCTATAATTATAATAAAATAAAAGTGTACCTACATACTTGGTTAGTAGATGTACTTCAATAATCCAAAAAAATGGAAAAATAAATGACTGAACTAGTGATAAATAAATAAATAAACAATTCACCAACAATCATAACACAACACACAACCTAACTTTCTTACAGTTGGTTTTAGACCCGACGTACGTCCACCGAAAACAGACACTTTTAATTAAAATCATTTGTATTTTTAATTCATAGGTCTAAAAAAACAATTAGAGCATGAATTATAGAGAAATACAGTGTATCCCAGATTCGCTTCTCTATACAGGGATCTCGGCTCCTATTATACCTACAGCGAAGGTTAAATGGGGAAAGTTTTAGAGGAAGCTAAGTGCATTCAATAATCGGCTGCAGAATAACGATCGCAGAATTAGATTTGGAAATATCGGCGAAAAACCGAAAATGACGGATTTCGTTTTCTGCCAGTTAAGGTTTAAAGTCAACCCCCATTTTCTGAACCTTGTGTTCAAAAATTCCAAAAAAAATATATGTTTTATGGTTATTGATATACTTTAATCCATAATTTTTTAAAGCAAATTTGACTCGCCATTTTTGAGATATATCGCAAAACTGAAAAAAGTGGTTTTTCACCATTTATTTCAAAACGAATAGATGAAGTTTCCCATTATTTTTATTACGAACTACTATTGCAATTCTACGCGACATATATTTTGTTCAAATTTTTTGAACTTGTAGTTTTCTCGCTACTGCAAGAATCGTTGGAAATACACCTGTAGCTACACTGTTTAAACAAAAATCCGACGGATGAACGTTCAAAATTATTTGTGTTGGTCCAAACTACAACCCTGTTTATGTAAAACAGAATAATACTTCGAATTTCCGCAAAAAAAAGAAAAAACTTTCCATCACATAATTTAATCAAATGCAGATTTCTATTTTTTTTTTACTATGAAGCTAGGGCACACTATAGGGGCGACAGTACTGACATCTCGCGTTGCTGTAATAAACTATATGCCCGACTTTAAACCTTAACCCTAAACGGTTAATTTGACAGCTGTCAAAATGTGACATTATTCAGACACCTTTTCAAGACCAATGAGATAGCGTGCATGACAGGTCTCAATCATCTTTCATTATCCCGCAACCCGCCTCAACTTCCATTTTTCTTATTTATTTATTTATTTATTTAGAGATACACTTTCCAAACACCCCTCTTGGAGTAATTACAGGAAAAGGAGTAGTAAAAACAAAAACAATAGAAAACACAACAAAAAACAAAAAATAACAAATTAACAGAAAAAATTAAATAAAATAAAAATGTAAAATGTAAAATAGAGAATAAAAGCACAGCCAAGTTCTAAAGAATAATACTTTCCTTACTTTCCTTAAGCAGTTCCTGAATATGTCTTAGACTGAAGCCACAAAAATCAGGCACCAAATGCTGTTCCAAGAATCTATTGTACAGGGTGCTGCAATTTGGAGTGTTTTAACAGGAAAACACACTTCCCGACCAGATAGAGGAAAATTGGCTTAGATGTCATGGAATCGATTTTCGAGAAACGTCGATTTTCAAAAACCGTATCGCGATATCTTCAATGGTACCATTAATACAGGGCGATTTTCGATTTTCCCCTATTATGAAAAATGGCTAAGTTTTTTAT